CAACTCACCCGAAGGAAGCCTCAGGATTGAAAGCGCATGCCCACACATCGCCGCATGAACAAAACTAGCTTACCAGCCAGATTCACATGCTGTGCCATTGCGCAGCTTAATCAGCAAAACAACCAGCAGCACCAGTAGCAGCAAGTGGCGTTAGGTCGCTCAGTCCCTCCAGGATCGCAATTCCGCCTCCTGGAACCAGCGGAAGGATGCGCACTCCAGGAACTGAAACCTATTGTAGTGGCATGCTCACGGCCTGTTGCCGGGTGTGCGTAGAAGTGCCCCGCCATAACCTTACACTGCAACTTCCACCCAATCTCTGGTGATTGCAAGCCTAAGGCCGCTAAGGCAGGCGCAGCTTCACAATATTCCGCCCATATCGACTGCGCTCGTTCATCGGAAGGCTGCAGCCTGCTCGATAGCTCATGCGACGGCAGCGGTGTGCTTCACAGGCACAACGAACCATCCGTGCACCAGAAAGTGCCAGTGCAAATGGCTGGATGTAAGAGCCCAACGAATGTTCTGCACGGCTGCCGATCTTGATTTGAAGCGATGGCCTCATGCACGCTTGGAATATCGTTCGGCATCAGATCGGTCCAAGTGTGCCATACACAGGTGACCAGAAATCATGCCGCAGTGTGGGCACATCGGCGAGGCTCTCACAGCGGGGCCGGCCAAAATACAGAAGGCTTCTGCAGTGCCCTCTATCATGTGGCATTTTGGTTGGTCCGGTTGAGGAACGCAAAGCTTCACTGCATGTCTGTGAAAGGTCTTCTTCTCTCTCAGGATCGCAAAGTGTCTGCTTGCGTTGCCCCAGTCTACGAAGCGAACGTGTCGCGAAGACTGACGCGATCAATGGCTGAAGTCTGCCAAGTACACCGAGAGACTGAGACTCCGAGGCTTTGACTGTAGAAAGCTCAAAACCGGGACGGGAGCCTTCAACGGCGGCCTGAGCTCCGCGCCCTGCCAGATCCTCGAAACCTCTCCGACAGAGCAAGATCAGAACGTGTTGACACTCGGGGCAAGCTTCAAGCTTCTGGCACCATTTCTCCACTATCGCTACATTGCACGACAGTGCAGCCACTTCCGCCAGCTGCCTCGGCTACGGAGGACGACAGGGAAGCCCGTCACGGTCGGCGCAGCGAGAACCTTGGCATTCTGGCAACTTGCAAGGGCGATGAAAGGGGGAACCCGGCAGGGGCCCCTGCCACGGGGATATCTAAGTTCCGCAGAACCGATCGGCCCACGTGCCTTGCTGGATCCTTGCAGCACTCCATCTGCCATGACTCCACTCCAGTAGAGTGTTTCTCAAAAGAAGGCCAGTCCTGCACCTCATCGCAGATTAAGGAAGTGTCACTCGTAGGGGAGTTGTCTTCCGTCGACAATGTTCCGCACTCCGCCTGGGAACATCTTCTCAACGGCAACTGCTGCTCCGGGTCGCGTACAATGTGCAACACCCTTCCTCTTCCTGCTCAGATTCGCCAGACACGGACTTGAAGTCCTTCACAGTCACAGGGAACAGAAAGCGCCGTGCAACTACGGGTACCCCGCAAACCGCCTTCCCCCCAAACTTTCCCCCCCGCTACCCCTACCACGACACTTCACTCCGCCTACTTGTAGCAGCCCATTCCCCTGAGATCAGCGAAACCTTCTTCAAGGCTGTCGCATGACTGCTCTACCTCTCTCTACGTCTTTCTGTCTCGTTGCCCAGATCCTCGGACTGCCAGCTTTTCAGGGACTCGGGCTTCCCCGCGTCACCTTGCTGGAACCATGCAGCGCATGCACAATGCGTCACCATGCGTCTGCCTTGTGTGCCCTTGGGTGCTTTCAGTCTCTTTCTGTCAAGCTACGCTGTCGGAGGTTCTCGACGGAAAGCGGAATGGCATGCCCGTCGGACGGTATGGGGAGTGGCTGCATCGGAGCCTGAGCAGGAAGTGGTCTAAGACAGATTCTGCCATGCGTTTTCCGGGCTCCCTGACCGTCTCGGCACCCTCCTCATCGGAGAGCTCTCCTGTCAGAGCTTGAGACCCAAGAGAGACTCATGACTCATGGCATGGGATTGTAGACCGTGGGCCGTAGGCTGGGGGTCGGGCCCTCAAGGAGATCCAGGAAACGGCCACTTTCCTCCGACTTCTCAACTTGCTCCGCCTGTTCGGGCTTCTCGGCTCCCTCACTGGAGTCAGAAGAGATGACCTGAAGTGAGCCAGAGCGGGCGAGGCCCCAAATCGGACAAAAGCTGAGGCCCAGGACATGTCCGAACAGAGCGCCTAGGTGGTGGATCTTCTTCTCCGACTCACCCTGTGCTCGGTGTCACCACTTCTCCGTCTCTACCGTTTACCGTGCACGGGTGTGTGCCGTTCCCGCAATTGCCTTCGTCTCGGATTTCGAGCTTCGGCTGGAGCGGTGGCTATGCAGAGTGGACGCCGTGCTTCGACTCCACCTCGCTGGAGAGCGACGTCGCCACTTCTTCACAGCCACCACTTCAGTCACTTCGCTTCAAAAGCAAAGGACAGGCTACTTTTCTGAGGCTCCAAACACAGATCTCATGTCTGCATCGGGGGCCACCGTCTTGCTGCCGTCCTGGGTACGCTAGGTTTGTAAACCCAAGTCCTCCCCCGGTCTCCGGAAAAAGCCCCGGCCTTCTTTTGGAAAACCTTCGCGAGCTCGTCTTTCCACCTTGGCTCTGAGGGCTTCGCAAAAGTGGTGTTCAGCTCTTTCAGCACACACACACACACAGACGCGATTGTTTGAGCTACGGGCATCTGCTCTGCAACTGAATGGAGATCATGCTGAGAAGCACCTCGAGTGGGCAGTGACCGAACGATGGAAAGCCCGGTACACACTTGCCCTGAGGTGGCCATCTGCGGCGCCGGCCGAGCTTCTCTGCAAGGGTCTCTCCCAGCTTTGGCAGCGTGGCAGTCCTTACGGACCGGCAGATGCAGCTTTCGGCCAGGCAAAAGACACGCAATCCGTTGCACCTCCACTCTTGGCAGATCTGGTCGTAAGAAACGCCCTCCGAAGCCGCCTTTCGAAGGCCAGGGCCCACGAGTCCGCGAGGCGATGTCCGCTAAGGCAGCGCGTGCCTGCAGGAGCCGCTCCACAGAGATTCGATCGGAGACGTCCTAAGTTTCAGGTGATCCTCTCTCGTGCAATCCTCTTCTGCATCACATCGACTAGTTGCCACGGTTGGCCTGCACACTTGCTGAGCTCCCCCACCCGCTGGATGCCAGCATGGTAGTGCCTTACTTCCATTGCCGCTGGTTCAGGAGTCCAAGGTGATGGGTGTGGTGCATGTATGCAGGTCACGCGGGGCCGCCGTACAGCCACGGGAGCCGTGTCAATGCACCCTCTTTGAGAGCCGTGGCGTGTCCGCGTTCCGGCGCGTGGCTCCCAAACAGAGAGGAAGAGAGAGAGAGAGAGAGAGAATGAGAAAGACACGCAGACAGAGGCACGGAGCGCCAGGGAACGGGCCAACCCATGGTCGGATGCTGATTCTTGCACAGGGACATCTCGCAGACGAACAACCTTTGCAGTGTCGGGGGGCTGCGAGTTGCACCTGAAGGAGACCAGCAATGCACTGCACTGATGATTCGCCAAGCGGCTCCCCATTTTTCCTGGCCAACACAACCCTAATCTGCCAGTCACTGAAGGCAGGAGGGCCCGGGCCTGGTGTTGATGAGCAGCACAGACGGCGAGGATCCCCCCTGGTTGACCTTGGAACTCTTGCCTAGCAGCTTAACAGCTTAGCATGCTCCGAGTCCTGTGAAGAAAGAAGTCTGAGGAGGAAGCGGTCTGAACTGCCTGCAGGCCGTGTGTGCCACACCGAAAATGGGGGGTCCAAGGTACGAAGGCTACTTCACGGAAAGCGCCTCTTCAGCCGCTTGCGTCATTCGCTTGATACCCGCATTTGCCTTCCACAGCGCGGCGGCACCCGGCACCGCTGACCGACGTTCTCCAACAAACCCCTAATCTGGCCTGCTCTTCAGAAAGCCCCAAGTCAGATGCCACCTGGAGTTCGAGATGAACAGAATCCGATTTTTCTCTCTGTTGAATCAATGGAAGGCCTTGTTGAGCATGGCCATGCCAGGCTTGTGATTCAACAAGCCCGCACCTTAACAGAGTCTCAAGTCTCACAGACTCAGAGAGAGGCTTTGCACCCTTGCAAATGCCCCATGGCCAGGCACCGCCAATCATCTCGCCGCAGCGCATGCCGACCTCCCAACAGCCAACCCCATCACAACTCCAGGCGCTCCGCAACAATTACACAAGAGTACTGCTAGGAGTGCCACGCATTCGGATGCATCATAGCCGAAGAGCTCCTGCTAACGAAGCTGTGGCACGTGTCGTTCACACTGCGTTCACGGCGGGACATCCCCCCCCTTCTGAGAGTGTCCTGGAAGCCCTTGCTGACCTAGGTTTGTTTCAGCAACGAAAGAAGCAGGAGACCTATGGCGTCGACATGAGCCGATGTAGCCGACCTAGACCGCCATTTTAGGACAAGCTTCATGTCGGATTGGGAAGCCTTTGGCTTTGGAGTCGCAAATCACGTAGCTGTCCACGTCCTTCGCGAGCTGACTGGCACGCCACTCTCGTTCAATGGAGGCTTGGAAGCAGACATGCTCCTTCATGCTCCTGTGCGATACCGTTGCTATCGCACACAAAATGCTCTCGTCCAGTGGCCGCCTTCACCTTCGTGCACCAGGATGCAGCCTCTGGAGAATCGACATGCTTCAACCAGCCAGGATCCCTGCAGAAGTCAGCCACCTCACAAGTGGCTAAAACCACAGACCGGTATTATTGAGCCAGTCCGGATATAGCTGCGGAGACAGGCTGCCATACAACAGTCATGAGTTGGTCGGCAGTAGCACCATATCATGCACTGCAATTACATGTACATATCTCTTTTGAACCGCACGTCGTCTGTGCTGCGGCTGGCAGATTTAAAGCCAAGCACCTGGTTTCAGGGCCTTGGACTGCAAGCATCTGCTCATGGCGCATCACGCTCAGAGACCTCGGCAGGCAGCAGCAAGGCAGGAATCCACCGTGGACGCTCACAGAGGCCAAGCACCCCAGCACAGCTTGCACATGCTCAACGATCGCTTCGTCCAAGGCAGCACAGAGGTTCAGAAGCCAAAGTGCGCGTGACCAGGCAATTTTACTCTTGGTACATCTGTTGGTTCTTCGAGTCGGGCTTCGGGATGCTGAATTGAGGCTCTTGATCTTGCGAGACGTTTGCCATGCCTGCCATGCTTGCCTCGAGTCTGAAGCCTCACCACAGCACTCGGCATTGCACATGGGCGTACACACCTCGACCTAGGCACCCCGGCCCTGCAGGAGACCAATTGCCTGCAGCCGACATTGCGACACATTTCTCACTCTTCCAAAAACTGCTCTCTTCCCTCGGCCGCTCACGTCGCCTCCCGGATGAGGGCGCGAGCGCTCTCGTCGCTTCCAGCGGCCACGGCCGCGATGGCCTGGTCGGCCTTCGCCCGAGCGGAGCTCTCTTCGCGCCGGGCCCGGGCGCCCGGCGAAGCAGAGGCAAAGGGAAGCGAAGGGGCGCGTCGAAGATGGGGGGAAGATGGTGGTTGTTGGCGCGGCGCGGCCTTCTTGCGGGCCTCCGCCTGTCGCTTGGACCTTTAAGCCGGCATCGCAGAGAGTCAGAGTCGCTTCAAGCTGCAAAGGGGCGGGCCCTAAGCCTCAGCTCCCGGCGCAGAAAGCGTGGCTCCAGTTGCAGCAGGGGTGGGTGCTGGCCTTGGCAGTGTAACGAGGACAGGGAGAACATGTGCCAATAAAGCCTCGACATGCCTCGACGGACACTTGGGGGCTCAGATGCACGATACCTGACACCTCACACCCTGAGCCAAGGCTGGACCATTAATAAAGGCTCCAGCTGGGCTTGTGGGACGACGGCCTCGTTGCAGAAATCTGGAATGAGCTTCACAAAGACTTGCCAACAAGGTGCGCTGCGAGGCTCTTGTAGCACTCAGAAACTCTTTTCAACGTCGACCGTGCGATTTCGCGCAAGTCCCCTTGCAGGGCCACTGGTAAGCTAATCGATGTGCAGCCTGCCGGGCACTCAAAATCACTCTAAAGGCAAAGGCGCCGCCACAGACCCACAAGCATGCCAGCATGCCTATGATACCTACGACCCGTGTCCGTGCTGCCTGAGGCCCCAGACTGCCCGCAGATGTTCACAGCTGTTCCTGGGAAGGGGATCTCAAACTCGGGGTTGCCAAGGGTGCGAAATCCTTGCTCGGCTGCTGTTCAGCTGAGACACGCCATCCTTCCGCATCAGATTTTTCTGGCGACAACGAGGCGCATGGCAAGGAATGCAGGGCTTCCGTGGGCTTCCGTGCTATCGGGCGCCTGCTTGCCTTCTGCCATCCTCCTCCGATATGCCGGTTCCCGCGTGTCGTAGCTGGAGTCCGTTGGAAGCAGGAACACCGGCTTCTCCGCCTCACGGAGCAGTTCTCTTCATAACTTCGACGAACAGCACATCGCGTTCCTGCGAGCCCTCCCATCGCCTCCTTGTTGATCGTCATGAACCTGCACAGGCTTTAGGCTCTTCAGCTCTTGACAAACCTAGCTAATTCCCGCAGGCACGAATCGAAGGTCGTACGTTTTGCAGTACTGGGGTGTACTGGGTGCATGCAAGCGGCAGCTTGCCAAGCTCTGCGATCAACGAGTCGCCTGGTTGCACTGCCAATGCTGAGGTGGCGTGAACAGTATCGGAAGAAGGCAACCAACTGTCTCCGGGCCGCTCAAGGTGATGGCATCCTCGATCTGCTGATCGCGTGCGGCCAACTGCAGTTTCCGGGCTGCCGTCTCGATGCCTCAAACTAGAGAGACTTGTAGGATCTTTAAAGGCCTTCGCTCGGGGACAGGTGCGAACAGGAAGAGGCGTTGGGGCTCAGGTCGGCGCCAGGACGCTTGAGTTCAAGAGTTCCAAACTTAACCGTCTTGGTCTTCCAAGGTGCGCTCATAGCTCGGCTGGAAGTCGATCTCTCCATCCTCCTCCTTGAGATGCAAGGCCATCAATAGCCCTCGAGTCTACGAAGGGCATGTGACTGCCGAAGGAGCCCTTGAGTGTTTCGGAAGGAAGCTGACCGGGATCCTGGTCTTTAGGCACCAGCAGAAGGTGCAAAAATGAGACTTCCAGCTTGGCAAAGTCCCCAGCACGAACAGCGGTGTGATAGCTGGGGCCGAGCGACTCCAGCCAAGACGAACTGGCGCAGCGGCGCGAGCAAGTCTCCTCACTTTTGTCATTGCGACTACCCTAGATCAAACTCTACGCATGCAGGAACTCTTGTTGTTTCCGCAGGTGCAAAGGGACCAATGTCTCCCTCTTGCTGCCCCAAGCAGAAGTGTGCGCTGAAAGCCCATGCATCTTATGACTTGAATTCTGCTGAGCCACTGTCGATTGCCGTGTTGCTGCCTGCGGAGTTGTCCACCAAGTTCACTGCTTGCTGGAAGAGGCGCGTGCCTGGCGGCTGCTCGTGGACTCGAAGAAAACGATTTAGGAAACGGGCTGCGTTCTGCACCTCGAACCCCGCCTCCCCTCACATAGTTCTGAACGTCGAAGTAAAGGACGTCCATGCCACCCTGGCGTGGCGTAGGGAGTGGTAACCCAGGGTCGAATGCAGTGACTCGGCACTGAGTCTCGTGCCTGTAGCTGCTCTGCATACCTGCGGGGCTGGGTGGATAAGTGCCTGCGACCCGCGATGCAAGACATCATCCGGCCTGCCGACTGCCCGTGCCAGAGGCGGAGACAGTTCTGCCCGCGCCGACGGAGCCCACCCTGCAAGGCAAGTGCAAAGTACAAGTTCAACATTGCAAGCTGCAGTGGCTCTGACTCTCTCCGTCTCCCTTGTTGCTCTCGCACACGAGTTCAGAGGTGCAGGGAACCAGAGAGGCTCGGAGAGACGGAGAGGGGCTCATCGGCTCATGCTCTGTCTGCACCTACGTACGTGTAGTGTGCAGCACACAACACGGATCAGGTATGTTGCAGTATGTGTACCTGCATACTGCATACCTACATGCCTGCACACACAGGTGAAGGCGCGCATGCGTGCCTTGCAAGCACTGCTTCACGCCTCTCGCAACTGCTCCCCAAGCCCCAAGCTTTGCTACTCTTCAGCCCATCAAACCGGGGACTCCTACAGAGTTTTGGCCCTGGTCCTGAAGGCGCCTAGTCCGGCGCCGGCAGCTGGAATGGCGCTGAGAAGCCACGCGCGCCTGCCCGGAAAGAGGATGGAGAAGCTGGATGCATATCGGTGCCCAGAAAGCCCCGGGCAGCACCTCGCAAGACGAGGGCCCGCATCCAAGCTGAAGTTCAAGACCCCCGCCACATGTCCTGACGACAGCATGTCAAGCGGTTCTCGCATGCGAAGGCACTTGGACTCGGCCTGCTGTGTGCAGAGCCACCAGGCCCAGGAGCAGCACAGCGCACGGCAGGCTCACACGTGAACGCTGGCGAGCCATTCTTGGAGTGCCGAATGCTCGAGACTCGAGACCAGCACAAGCTGCGGCGCTCCTGTATCAGATGGTGTGAACCTGTGTACATCCAGGTGGTAAGACCGTCTCCCTGAAGATGTGACTTGATGTAGGCTGAGAAAGCTTGAGGATGCGAAGTTCGGGGTGGCATGTTGGCTTTATCAGAAAGTCTTTGCGGTGCTCTTCACCGCAGTCCAAGTTGGCTCCACCACTCTGCCAAAGAGCCAGTTGAGTCGGCACACAAGGGCGGTCTTGATGCATCCGATTTCAAGAGGCTCCACATTCCCCTTAAGTTTGCCATGTCCCCTGTCGAGGTGCTGACGGTAGGCCGGCTGGGCGGCGCCGCCGAAGGCTTCGGCTGTGCCTCTGCAGGACGCTTTTTTTGCCATGGCATATCTGCGAAGGCATTAAACCCGTTCCTGTCCTCCCTGACTGCGAAGGAGCCCTCCCGGTCATGTGGTTTCTTCCCTGTTGGTCTGTTCTACATGACTTTGTGGGCTTTTGTTTTAATGGGGTTCGTGCCTGCAGTCTACGAGTCTACGAGCGGCGTTCCTTCTGCATTGAGGTGCCGGCTGCCGGAGCCCAGGACTTAAATTCTCAGATCCGGCGTCACCTTCGGTGCCGCTGCGGGGGCTGCGGGAGGATCCGGCGCAGCTGGCGCGGCAGCTGGCGCGGCAGGAGCCCTGCAGAGCAAAAATGTCAGCTGTGCCGAATGTGCTGAGGGCAGGTGCAGTGACAGTGAGAAATGTGAGAAGGACGCGCGGGGGCGCGCCGACCTGGCCTTGGAGGCGGTGGTGGAACTGCGGGCGCGGCCGGCGCGGCCGGCAAGGCTGGCGGCACCGCGGGCGGCACCACGGGCTCCGCTGGTGGTTGCGGGGCCTCCGGCCTTGAGATGCGGCTGAAGCCCAAGATGCGCCCGAAGGGAAGAAGGAACGGCCCCCTGTATAAAGTTAGCAGAACCCTTGCCCATTTCGGGTAATAATACCACCAGTCAACCCATTAGACGATCATTCCTATACTCCCCCCTACACCTCGCCAACTATATCACCACTACTACCCCATTACCATTTCCAGTATAGGAATAACCGATTACCTCATCCATATAAGAGGATTATTCCTATACTCCCTAACTCTTCCCCCAAATATCACCACTACTTCCCCATTACCAAGACCAGTATAGGAATAACCAATTACCCCATCCATATTCCCTAAGGTGGTATTATCATCCCGAAATGGGCAAAGGTTCTCTTATAGATTTTACTAGGTTTAGGGTTAAAGGTTGTAGTCATAATAGAATTACGTTCCATAAACTCTTATGAAATGTGATTACATTATACTGATGCTTTTACCTCACGTTTCCTTTTATCATTGAAACTCACTTCTTTTCGTTTGTCGTTGTATGCTTTCATGCTATCTAAACATTCACAACAAGTAACAGTGGTTCTACACTGCATTAAATACTTACCCGTTTTACAATGATAATATCTTTTGAAATGCACTAAATTCTTCAACTTCTTACATCTAACACATTGCCGATCACAATGGGGAGGGTAATGCTCAGTATTAAAACCCATGGTTATCTTATCAACATATATTGTCATATTATATTGTTTTACAATATTTATCATAATTCCTTAATTATGACAAACATTGTTTCAAGCTAATTAACCATTACCATGTTCTTTTGACATGCTTATGGAAGGCACACTGGAGAAATGGGAGAAATGGGGCGCTGTCGCTACTATAAGCAAATCACTCCTTACAACATTATTTTAGCAATTCTTCCACAACAATTTAAATCGCTTCTTATACTCTTCATAATGATAATAATCCTCTAGTTCATCCATAATAGCACTTAATCTGCGTTATACATTCTAATATTTCTTCTTTCCTCCAGCCAATCAGTTTTATTTTCTTTGTTTTCTTTCTTAGGAAACAAACAATCCATGTATATATATTATTTGCATTTTTTTACATTTTTTAGATAAAAGCAGAATGCCTTAAGAAAATCAAACAAACTACGACAACACATTCTATGTCTTGGAGTTTTTATTATTTCATCAAGTTTCTCTATCTCATTTATTATTTCTATATACCGATCCATATATATATTTAAATGATATAACTTCTAACTAGTATTAATGTTAGAAGATATTCCTAAAGTAGAACCTATAGACATACCCAAATACAATTATAAGAATAGTAAATACGAGATGATGCCAAGTCTACCAGCAAGAATGTTATGCGTTGCTTCTTCAACAGGTGGTAAATCTGTTTTAATACAAAACCTAATTTTAAAGATTTACCGAGGTTCTTTTGAGAGAATCTACATTTTTAGCCCTAGTGTGCATGTGGATGACACATGGAGGGCAGTCAAGAAATACATTACTGACGTAATGAAAGTGGATACCGAAAAGGAAAAAGTATATTATGAAGAATACGATCCAATTGCATTAAAGCATATAATAGAAACGCAACACAAGGTAATAGACTTCCAGAAGAAGAACAAACAAAAAGAATTATTCAGTATTTTAATAGTGGTGGACGACTTCGCGGATGACCCTAAATTTGTAAGATACTCCAATATCTTACATGGTTTGTTCACACGCGGAAGACATAATGCCATCTCATGCATTTTATCAACACAAAAATATAATGTCCTTGCCCCTATAATAAGACTTAATGCCTCGGCACTTTTCATATTCAGACTGAAGAACATGAACGAGGCAAATAGTTTCCTAGAAGAGAATAGTGCCCTTGTAGACAGGCGAACACTTTATGACATGTATCAACAAGCGGTGAACTTTGCGCCTTACTCGATCTTTTACATAAACACGAACGCTAAAGATGTCAATAACATGTTTTATATTAATTTCCAACAACGCTTTGAAATAGGTGACCAATAATATTATTTCCTAAAACATTATTATTAGTCACGACTTCGTCCTGAGGGCGAACTTCGTTCGCCGTCACGGCTTCGCCCTGAGGATGCTAAAGCATCGTCACTATCACTCTTGTTTTTCTTTAACTTACTTACTTCCTTTTTCAGTTTATCTACTTCAGTTATTGTTGCCTGTAAAGCACTCCATAAAATTGGCACACATGTTGTGTAATCAAATTTTAAATAACCATCTTTTCCTTCTTTTACTACATTCTGCCATTCGTCGGGCATCTTCTTCGTTTCCATAAAATCATTAGCAATAAATCCTACACAAGATTTACCTTGTTGTCTGTCATCAATAGAATGATATGTTTTCGGCTTAATATATTTTACTAATTCTACTGCTTTTTTACTATTTACTTCCTTTATATCTTTCTTTAATCTTTTATCCGATGAAGGAATTAACGACCCTGTATATGAAAGGTCGCCATAAACATCAACACCTGTTGTTGTTGCATCTAATGTTGATAAGTTGTTATTACTTAATCTTATCCATCCGTTGTCATCTGGGTTATTTATTAATACTCGCTGCTGTCCTGTTATATCATCATGTGTTATTTCTAGGTTACCTAATAAAGTAACTTTCGCTTCGGTTAATGATAACTCCGGTGTGCTTCCTATAGTTCCAATGATAAAATTAAGTGCTCTGTTGGTGTCTCCATTTCTTATATCTAGATCATAATCACTACCGTTTAATGTTTCTTTTACTGATGAGGAATGTTGAAAAAATAATTCTCCCCATACATCTAAATCTGCTTCTGCTGTTATTCTTCCTATGCTGTTAAATGTCTGATTATTCGTAACTGCCCTGTTAATTGTAATTCCGTTAGTGTCATTCAACTGTAAAGCAATAGTCCCAGTAGTTGGATCAGTTGCTCTGTTGCTTTGTAATGAAAAATTAATTTCGTTAGTTGAGATTACATTTAATGAGTTGTTGATGTCTGCTCTTTCAAATATTCTGGCGTTAGATCCGTGTAATATTTGTGCGAATAATGTAGGTGTTCCGTTGACTTGTAAATTATTTCCGAATAAAACGTTGCCACCAGCAACATTTAGTTTATTACCACCTGCATTTACTCCAATACCTAAAAAATTCATTCTACATGCGTTGCCATCTGTCATATTTAAAAATAATTGGGATGTTGCATCGCTCGTGGTATATGCATCAATACCGACACCTCTGAATTTAACCTTACCGCTATCATTAGCAACTGTTACTACATTACTACTATCGGTCGTTGCCTTATAAAATGTTAAACCATTGGTAGCATCGTTAATATTTGCTGTTGTTCCATTAAAATTTAAATCTCCTGTTAAATTAATATTTCCCACTACTTCTAAATCTGTTGCTACCCTTGCCTGATTAAAATTAGATAAACCACCAACATTTAAAAAATATGATGAGTTGTATTGAACTCCTATACCGACCTGTGCTGTTGTTTGACTTCCTATTCTTAAACGGTAATCGTTTCCTGTGTCGTGTAATACCATTTCTGTTCCATTTGCTGGATTTGCTGGGTTCATACATCTAAAATTTCTGTTCCGAAACTCCCACACCGCTTGAGTATCTCTAACACGCAGTGTGTAATTTGCATCTCCTAAATTTCTAATAATGTCACTGCCTGTATCAGGAACTGTAATATCTCCTATTGCTAAACTTTGTATTTTAACACTGTCTGATGGATTTAGATCCAATGCTGTTAAACTGTCATCACTTGTAGCATTAGCAATAATTTTATTTCCTTGTAAAGTTATATAATTTGAAGCATTTTTAAATTGACTTACGACTTTATCACCTCCTCCTGTTTGATTACTGAATAATAATCCTTCTACTGGTGAAACATTGATAGCTGAATTGTTTAATGTTAAACCGCTATGAATAACCGTTGGGGCACTACAATCAATAATAGGATTGGCGCTAAATCTATTTGTAAAACCACTTACTGGAACTCTTGAAGCAAGTAAATTATCAATTTCTGCATCTGTGTATCCACCCCCACCAATATTAGCATCAATGTATGTCTTATCATAATAATTTGCTTGTGTTTGTGTTATTGTGTAATAATTAGATGTTAATGTAGAAGTTAACACATATGGTGTTAGTGCTGTAGCATCTATCCAATTTTTAGCATCTATTTCAGTTCTATTATAAAAATTAGTTGCTAGAACAGTGTTAGTTTGATAATTAGAAGATAAATTTGTGTCTATCTGTGTTGATGTATAATAGTTACTTAATGTTGTATCAATCTCGGTTTTATTGTAAAAATTAGTTGCCAAAACTGTGTTGGTTTGGTAATTGTTGGTTAGGTCATCATTTATAGCGTTAATATTATTGAAATTTTGCAATTGTTTGTTGTTTAGAACGTCAATAGCATCGGTGTTTGCCGTTATGTCTGTTGCGAAGTTAAGATTTTCTACCTCTGTCTTTGTTGCGTAGGTGTCAGAAATTTCACTTACACCCGTTGAA